GAAGTGAGGGGGTACCTGTAGTGGTACCTAGGTACCTGTTCAATTTTTCACAAAAATAGGTACCAAGTACCGCACCTGGCACCTCCCGACGGGTGCGGGGCGGGTGTGAAGGGTACCCCCCAAGCGGTACTAGGTACCTAGCAAAGGGTACCGCGGAACGATCTCTACTTTTAGTTATATGCAGATGCTTAAAATTAATTCATGAGTGTGCATCAGCAGCAGTGGGCCGCTACGCTATGCTACACTTTTGGCCCAAAAAGTGTAGCGTAGCAGTGTTTTTTTTTTTTTCATCAAAAATGTGTAGTGTTAGCCTTTTTTTAGCGGTTTTTGCTACGCTACGCTGCGCTACAGCGCTTTTAGCAGAAAAAGCGGCCAAAAACTGCTAAAAAGTGCTGTAGCGCAGTGTAGTGGGCCCTTTTTTGTGGCCCACACACGCAGCGTTGGCGGTGTCGTGGCAGAATTCTGCTACGCTACGCTTAGCGCTAACAGCAATTCCGCTGTGTTACGCTACACTAACCACTACGGTGTGGGATACTTTATGGGTTCCCATCCAACAACTTCAAAAATTTATAGGTTCTTTGTATATACAATAATATTACACCATATAGGGCTCCAGGAAGGGACTCCAGGGCCAAAATCACCCTAGAGGAGCAGGCTTGGACACATGTAACCCCTCTGTGTTGCATGTTACACCCCTCTTTTACTCACAGGTAGGGGGGACAAGCACCCTTACATGTTACAAGGATATCAGGTACACATTTCACCCCTCCGGGCCATGTGATCTGGCATCTGTACGTCTCAATCAAGTACAATGGAAGTATGCAGGCACAGCATACAGGTTACCTTGGCAACCTGCCATGCAATGCGTACAGCCTCAAAATACAGGATGACATCATGCGGCTTACCAAACACAGCCTGCAGGTTGCTAGGTTGCATAGCAACCATTGCACAGCTTGTCAATCCGACGGAAACCACTCAACTTCTCAAATCACATCATGTAGGCTGTACCACCAGCCAAAACCCCTGATGTATTCTTCCATCTTGGCCAAATTCCCTCATGTAAGGCTGTACAACCAGCCAAAATCCCTCATTCCTGGCTCCCCTGGAGCCAAAATACCTCATTGTTGTCTATATAAGGAGGCCCTTCCTCCCAGTTGTAATTTCTCCCCACCAGACTTCCTGCAGACATTTCCCCACATAACAGGCAAATCACTGCTCACTCCATAATATTATTTGTTCCCAAATATTTTGGTTTTACAATAACAACCCTTACATACAATATTACAATATCTTATACATAACAAACAACCCATTTTGCACCTGTCCACCTGTTAAACAACAGCATATCTTTTGATACACTCCACTATCACTTATTAAAAGCTGCCAATCTAAGATTGGTGGTCTTCTTTAGTGTAGTACACAGGAAAGGCAGAAGTTACCTCACACATCCCTTTCCGAACTCAGCAAAAGGTTCTCACGAACACTTT